TATCCAAGTAATTTTCACACGCAAAATATTCAAAAAACAATAAACGCAATAATGAAAAAATCAGTTTTACAGGCAACCTTCCTTTTTCGAATGTAATGAAATCGTATTATGAGAAAAAATAATAAAATCATTTTATTATTAATAATTTTCTTGTTGTACTTAAGAAAATATTAAAAAATACAGTATTTTTAAAGTTAAACTAACGAAAACCAAAACCAAAACCAAAGTGATGTAGAGATACGATGCACTTGTATATCGATGACGTAATACACTTTACTGAGGAGTGAACGAAAAAAAATCAAGTTGACTTAATTAAGTCAAAAAAAAAAGAAAGTGTGCATTATAATCGAGAATATGCGACTATTGTATTAATCTTTAACATATTGATATTAAATCTGTCTTACAAAATCATGACGACTCCTGTAAATCAAGTTATCCGTTAACAATAAAATACAATACCAATATAGCCCTATCGTTGAAAAAGTTTGTTCATTTTTGCTCACCTCGAGTTTTGCTTAGTAGAAATGGCTAAAAAGTGCGCAAAATACGTTCAGAAATACGGTATTACGATACCACCTGTATTGGACAACCACCTGTCTAAAAGACCACTTTTTGAAGGAACTGTAGGTGGTCTCCATAGACAGGTTTTACTGTATTGTTTTAAGTTACACATTCTTTCATTTAACATTTCATAAATCAAAAAAGTCTAGATAATTTTCAATTACAAATGTATTGCAAGTTTTAGTAGTGAATGATCAACATATAGGCCTTTCTGTATCTGTATCTGAAGTAAGTCAATGTTTATTTAGTTATCAATAAATTACTTTATAATACTTAAATGACAATTGTGCAAATATTTATAGTATACATGAATAATACTTAATATATAAAGTCTNATTTAACATTTCATAAATCAAAAAAGTCTAGATAATTTTCAATTACAAATGTATTGCAAGTTTTAAAAGAACTAATATTAATACTGTATTAGTAATAGTAGTTAGTAATATCGTTTTAATACCAAGTTCACATATTTTTCAAATAACAATTTTTCATCTTGCAGGTTTCAGCTATACCACAAATCATTGATGTGATAGAACCAGCTGAAGAATTTAATATAGAAGAATTTCATAACACTGATAATCAGCAGGTAAATCCTAAGAATAATTATATTCCGTAAAAGTTCTGTTTAGCTTATAATGAAATAATTATCTTCCAATCAGAGTTCTACCAATGTGAAAAGTATTCAGCGACCGCGAGCATCGATTTTTTATCCAAAATAACATAAACAACTGTAATAAGCGACCACTTCCACGAATATATCTGGTCTAAAGTATTNTTCTGAATTATTGCATCTTTTTCACAAAACCTTGAACATTTCTGGTATTTACATAGTTGTACAGGCACATCTGAAGTTAAAACATGCGCATTATCATCATCATGAAATACTGCTATACTTTCATCTTCTAGTGCAATATTGTGAAGAACTATAATATGCACTGCATTCTGCAAATTGTACTGTAGTCCAATAGAAAGGCATGGGAAACGTATGTCATAAACCATATTGCCTTCCAACAGGATTCCTGTCTACTGTTCATTTGCTTGGTGAAATAAAACTGCCAAATTTTTTACTTATACTGATTTAGCTAACTCTTAAGCAAAATTTATGGCCCTGAAAAGGGCCTTTAAATTTAATAATAATGTCTGAAATATGTTTGTGTGTGAAGCGGCCCGAATCAAGAACAATAAAGTAAATCAACAAAATTATAATATTAACTATAAAATAGTTTTAACAAAGAAACCCTCCATTTTCCCTTTTTGTTATTTCGAAATTTCCGAGGGAGGATGTTCTTCTTTCCGTCCCCGGAGTAACTTCCTTTCCCAACAGAACCCGCCACTGAATCACCTGGAACTTAATCAAAAAAATTCTGTAATTGGTGAAACCCGATCACGAGACCAGAAGGTATAAACGAGAGGTGAGAACCGACAGGGGGGTTGACTTCGACTGACACGAGCCAAGTCGTCCATGCCCTACCTCGCCCGGGAAGATGGTCTAGATCTTGCCGCAAAGAAGCCTAGAAAACTAATTCGAATCAACGGAGGTATGACCAAATATAGTAAACTCTCTCTCGGCGCGGTTACTTCAAATTACGTGCAAATAGTTCATCCCTGTATGTTAGGATAGTATGTTTAAATAAATGTTTGTTTTGTTGTTAAACGTCGTCTTTACTTCGAGTATCGATCACACTTTTTCCGACGACCCCTCTCACCTCCTCCACTCGACCTGACAAAAGAATCCTGACTTTCCGGGATAGGAAAAACCCATAAACAAGCCATCCACTGACCAGTGGGCAGTTCTCACCAAACTGTTGCCTAGCAAAAAGAGGTAGGATGAAGTCGTACCTGTTTTTGCTAGGCAACAGCTTGGTGACAGGCTACCCGCATTTGCATTACCTTAAAAGATTATGCAAACATTTCAAAAGTTAAATTCTAATGAAATCTGCTATTAATGCATTTCTCTTTGCAAATCCAGCTGCATTCTGACTTCTGACAACAGGCAGTGGAACATCTTCATTCATGGAAATAACAAATTCTGTTGGAACTGTCATATTTTCATGTGAAATTGCAATGTTGTGAAGCACTGCAGTGGCAACTATGACAGCCATAGCATTTTGAAGGTTGCAATGTAAACCTACTGATAAACAGGGAAAACGTCGTTTCCATAAACCATATTGCCATTCCACTGTGTTCCGTGCTTTTATGTCGCATCTGTTATATCTTTCAAAGAAAAAGTAATTAAAATTAATTTTGAAATATATATGATCATTTAAAACTATATTATGCATTAAATATATTTTAATAATATATATTATAAAACTAATAACTACTTAATTATTAATAACTAATAATTAATTAATATTTAATTTATTGGCAATATGGTGACACCGGCCAAGAAATATAAGGAATATAGGAAATTGGCATTGAAGTTAATACAGGCGGATAGTAAGATGAAATTTCTTAAGCAATGTCTGCTTAACAAGGTTTCCCAATGTCCATTTATAAAATAAGTATTCCAAAAAAATGTACTTTGTTGAAAGAAAAAATTAGAAAAGACTGTCTACGTAAATCCATCAGAATCGCAAAAAATAAAAAGTATGGAATATTATAAGATCTCATTGCATTAAAAAATGAAATTAACCACCGGAAAGTCTCAATGATTTTAATGCGAAAGTGGTTGGGTTGACAGAAAAGGTACAAAAAAGTTTAAGGAAAAGATATATCAAGAAGATGACATGGATCTTGAGTAAACAAGTAACAAAAAAGTAAAAAACAAAAGTATCATTGCCTTTTGTTTTATGAGACCAAGTCCACATTCGAATTAAAATCAAGGAAATTCTACAAAAAGGTCCTAACTTTGTTCCGGAACATGAAAACTTATGGCAAACTTCAGTAGCGGAAATGGAGAGAGGATTGTTAGAATTTAACAAGTTAGAAAGGAATTTTTTCCGATGGAAGACTGTTCTTAGGGATCAGTCGAGAGTAGGTCGTCAACAGGTCAAGACGTTCTTTTCATCGCTCCTATTTTCGTAAAGGTTGGTTCCGGAAATATTTATCGGATTTTATTGTCTGATACATCGTTGGATAGCATATTTGATCACGGTCAGTTTGATACCAACATTGTTTGGCTAGCTTTTTTAGAGGGGAAGTTATGGGTTAGTAAATTTAGTATTTTACAATCGGTTTTAGCAGGGTGTTCTTATTTGAAAGGGGGGCATGCTTATATTGTTTTGTTTGTTAGGTAAGAGGTCATAGTATCAAAATTTGGTGTCTTTTGGCTCAAATTTAACTGTTCTAGCTTAGTTTTAATATATATATATTTATTTTATCAGCATTCTGGGAAAGTCTTTGTTCCGATTTTCTTTGTTCGTTACAAAGGACTAACGGTCGTCGTGGTTATTGTCTTTCTAACGGTCTTTTATCGATCGTTCTATTGTTCTTTAACCATTTGTAACGGTTTCTTTTGCTTCTGTAAGTTGTTTTATTCATAAAAATAAAATAATTAATAATATCTGTTAATAATTTATACATCTGGCACTTAGAATTTAATTTTGGCTTTTGGGTTTTAATTGCCCATAATTAGAAAGGGTTTTAATGGCTAATAACAGTATTACGGGTTTTAACAGTCTATCTGTGTAATTTAATTTTTATAGTTTTAAGGTTTTTTGTAAGCAGGATTATTTAATGTAAACAAGATAGTGTACTGGCATTTTTCTTAATTATTTGGTTTAGAGGTTTGTGAGATCCGGAATTTTTACCGATTATTTGCCGATTCAATGTCCCGTATTTGCCTAAAAACTTAATCAAACTTTCCTTTAACTTACTAAAAGGAGAAAAGAAAAATGGCTATCGCCCCTTTCTATTCAAGGTAAACATCCGTTCATTTCGAAACTAATCCCACATTCCAACTGCTAAGTTGATAGTTAGCATGGTCCCAGGAACAACGCTGACCCATCTGCATACCTTTTACCTCACAACAATCAATCACGTGACCATTCTCCCACGCCGATCTTATAAAAACCCCTTCCTTCCCCTCCTCGGGGGAGTCGTTCTAGAGCAGGTGCCAGAAGAAGAAGATAACTTTAAAATAGTGTCCTTTTAAACAGTGAACTTTCCTAAATCAAAGATTTAATTTTTTAAACAGTGAACTTTCCTAAATTAAAGATTGGAGAATTTTCCTCAGTGGATAACAGATCAAGAGGTATGGAACCAATTATTGTAAGCTCTCTCTCGGTCTCTCCGCGTTTTAGGGACGCGAACTAGTTGTTGTATCAGGTCAGTCCATAAGTTAGTGCGCATTAGTAGCATGTATGGGTTTCGCGATTATTTATTACCAGATCGATCAGATTCCGAACCTGTCGAAACTTGTCATCGCTTGACCGTTGTATTCTTCAGTTTGTCACCAAATTTTGTAAAGATCAGACGCATATTAGTACCGATAAAAAATGAATATCGATAACGCATATAAACGTGCTGTGTTATATTTTTTCTTTTTGAGTGGTGAAACTGCCAGATCGGCAGCAATAAAAATTAATAGTGTACATGGTGCACATACTATTAGTGTGAGGAGTGCCCAGAAATGGTTCGAAAAATTTAAACTTGGAAAAAGCAACATTAATGATAAACCCCGTTCAGGATGTCCTGTCGATTTTGATAACGACGTTCTTAAAAATCTTGTGGAGTCAGAGCCATATTTAACAGTGGATCAGATCGCAGAAAAGATGCATTCATCTCATGGGACAGTCTTTCGCCATTTAAAGGAGATTGGAAAAGTATCCAAGCTGGGAAAGTGGGTACCACATGACCTGTCAGAAGCCAATTGCCAGCAGCGATTAAACATCTGCATTTCCCTTCTATCGCGCTTTGAAAGAGAGCCATTTTTAGACCGTTTGGTAACAGGTGACGAAAAGTGGGTTATTTATGATAATGTCACCAGAAAAAGACAGCGGACAGACAAAGATAAGCAGCCAATTTCAACACCAAAGGCGTCTTTACATCCCAAAAAGGTTCTGCTAAGTGTGTGGTGGGATATGTATGGTGTCATTTATTATGAATTGTTAGAACCAAATAAAACCATTAATGCAGATGTATACAGTGAACAACTTTGCCGTTTAAATTCAGAATTGATTAAAAAACGCTCGCGATTGGTGAATATGAAGAAAGTGTTGTTCCACCATGATAACGCTAGACAGCATATGGCTCGAAAAACGCTGCAAAAAATTAATGAACTGAATTGGGAGCTTTTGCCGCATCCTGCATACTCCCCAGATATTGCCTCAAGTGATTTTCAGTTATTTCGTGCTTTACAAAATTTTTGCCAAAGCAAAAACTTCAATTCTAAACAGGATATACAAAATGAACTCAGAAGTTTTTTTGCTTCAAAACAACAATCTTTTTACGCCAGTAAAATAAAAAAGCTACCAGAAAGATGGCGAGATATTGTAGATAGCGGAGGAAAATATATCATAGATTAAAATGTTAAATTGTGTTTTATTTACACCATTTAAAAATTTCGCCAAAATGCGCACAAACTTTTGGACTGACCTGATACTATCTGAAACTTGCTTTAAATAAATTGTTAATTTTTATGTTATATCTGGCCTCCTCGTTTACTCGTATATCGCCTGTCGTCTCACCGACACACTCCTCCCTCCGCCACTTGACCCGAAACATTAAAGCCCATTACTGCGGGAAAAAAAATCCTTCCACCCATCCTGACAGTGAAAAGGTTTAACAACCTGTTGCCGGATCGAGAGACCTGAGAACCAATTTGTGAACCACCGTCCCGGTGGTTCACAAATTGGTTCTCAGGAGTGGGGTTTCGACTTTTTCGGAACTTCAGTGAGGCGAACAAAAAGGGCTATATACTAGTAACATTCAAATTGAGTTAGGATTAGGTATTACTTTCCTACATTAGGGACAGTAATTGACAGATAATGGAGGGCAAACCACAACCTGCGGCTGGGCCAGGCAACCCTAATCCAAACCCTACGCCGAATCCCATCACATTGGGAGGTCTAGGCGGCATCAAACCTTTGTAACCCATGTTTTCAGGAGAAGCAGGAGGCCTGAGAGTAACCGATTTTTTCGACTCATTAGCAGATGTCACCAAGATGGCTGCTTGGTCGAAGGCACAGATGTTGGCGGTTGCGAAACTGAAACTTACGGGGATAGCCTCAGAAATTCTCCGGAAGGATCGCTGGATTAAGATGGTGAATGAATTTGACGAGTTCAAGCGGTTAATGCTGGAGCGCTTTAGACGGAAACCTTTCCCAGTTAAATTAAACAAATTCTATACTTGCATTCAGACAAGGGACGAAGATGTGCAAGTGTATGCCACTCGTCTCCAATCCCTCGCTATGGAAATCGTGATCTCGCCAGAGCCGGATGCTAACGCGGAGGAAACCGCTCTCATACAGAGGGTTCAGGCTAAAGAGCTCGATGAACGACTGAAGGCTCAATTTTTAAACGGGATTGACCCCCGCATACGAGAACGGACGATGTCTCGGGAGCCCGCTACATTCAATGATGCGCTAAAGGCCGCTATTAGCGAGGAGATGATAGATAATATTACGGCACGTCCACAGGGGATCCTGCGCACTGTTAGGGAATGTGACCAATCGACAAACTCCTCTCCTTCACCCAATGACATACAACAATTAACAGCAGCAATGGAGGAGTTGAAAACGCGAATGGACGGTTTGACTCGAGCCCCTTCTCGACTCAACTCTGGAAATGTGCCATTTAATCGAAATCAGCGAGGAAATATTAATAGTAGAGCATATCCTACTCCCGCTTTTAGGCGTAACAAATATCAGTCGTATAATCGACCTAATCAATCGAATAACTGACCTAACCAAAATTGGACACAGAATTTTCCTGCTCACCGAGAAAATCATAATGATAATCAAACCGCCCTCCCACGAAACGACTCCCCACGGCAAAACAATGTGAGACCTGATCCAAATCGAGTCCGATTTCGATTGCAACCTACGAAACCAACGCAAACCCGTTGGAAAGGTAATGTGCAAAGCGTCAAAGGTCGACGACCTCAAAGTTTTCCTATAAGCGGTACTAACTTACCTTATCCTACAAATGAGCCCAAGCGGGAATCTCCTATAGAGCGACATCAGCATAATAATAAAACTCTCCTAAAACGAAATCGAAAAATATAGCTTCACTTGATGACGTGGCATATTTAGCACTAGATATAGGATATATTTAATTGTTATATTGGAGGAAAATTGGCAGTAGTGCAAATAGATACAGGAGCCAAGGTATCTCTCTTATCTAAAACGTTTGTGGACTCTATCAAAGAGAAAATACAATCCATAGATAGGAATAAAGAAACGGATTTGCTACAGGCCACCCTATACAAACATATGGTATAATATATCCTACCTACAAAATAGGGAATTTACGATTCCTGTTTGTGTGTTGTCTAGTAGACATAGATGTTACCTGCCCATGTGACGGAATTATCAGTCGGGATATGATTACTGAAAAAGGTTTCCTTATTGATTTAAAAGCGGGAGAAATGATTATCCCTCCCCAAATAGAGAGCTCTGATAGACAGGACAAAGAGCCCGGGAAAATTGGAGGGAGAAGACTAAATGACCAGGGGAAAAATCAAATTAAAGGGGATATAGCCCAATCTTTGTAAGGAACGGAGGAGGGCAAGGAAGTAGTGTTAGTAGAACCGTGTCGACTTCCTCCCCGGACAGAGAATATAGTAACGGCCAAGATTATGGGAGTTAAACAGAATAAGAATATTGGAGTGATAGAGACCAGCCACTTCCCACAGGAAGGGATGACGGAAGCCAATCTCTTGGTTACCCCCAATAAAAAAGGGCAAGTTCCCATCCGTCTCATCAATACTACTTACAAAACAATTAAACTAGAGAAAGGCGTCAAAGTGGGCACTTTTTTTGACGCGATAGAAGAACATAATCCTGTGGATATCATTAAGGAGGGAAAAACTGCAACTTTGTCAAAATCAGAATTTGACCTACTTTTTGACTAGACAGGTATTCCTAAACAGGAGAAACAAAGCCTTTCAGCCCTACTATATAAATACCGACACATTTTTGCCTTGGACGATTATAATTTAGGATATTGTAATTTAGTGCAACATAAAATTGATACAGGTGATGCAGCCCCGATTTACTCTCCTCCTTATAGAATTCCCTATGCCCAACGGCAACAATTAAATGAAATCATTGACAGCCTTTTGGCCCATAACATTATTGAACATTCTACTTCTCCTTGGAGTTCGGCCGCTCTCCTGGTGAAAAAAAAAGATGGCAGTCTTCGTCTGGTGATCGACTATCGGAAGCTTAATAAAATTACAAAAGTAGACCCTTATCCTCTCCCCCTGGTGCAAGAATCTCTTAGTCTAATGGGACAAGCGAAATATTTTTCTACAATGGATACAATTTCCGGATTTTGGCAATTAAGTGTGTGCAATAAGGAGAAGATAGCCTTCTCTACCCCTGATGGGCATTTATCAATGGAACCGCTGTTCGATGGGTTTACATAATTTGCCTGCAGCCTTTGAATGTATGATGGACTTCGTATTGCATGGTCTGAAGGGAAAGACATGTCTTGTCTATATGGACGACATTTTGACTTTCAGTCCAAACTTTCCTACTCGTCTTAAACGATTAGAACAAATTTTCCTACGATTAGGAGAAGCAGGGATCAAATTAAAACCTAAGAAATGCCATTTCCTACAACGCCAAATAAAATTTCTTGGACATGAAATTTCCAAACACGGGATAAAACCCGATTCTGATAAGATCAGATGTGTTATGACTTTTCCTCAACCAGAAAATTAGCGAGAGATCCGATCCTTTTTAGATCTAACCGGATATTATCGAAGACATGTTGATGCTTATGCTCAACTTGCTAAACCTTTAACAGACCTGCTCCGGAAAGGGGTACCGTTTGAATGGGGACCAAATCAACAAAAAAGTTTTGATAAACTTAAGAAAATTCTGACGTCAGCACCCTTATTAAAATCTCCTGACTTTTCAAACCATTTATCCTTGCTACTGATGCCTCAAATTCAGCCCTTGGAGCTGTATTGTCACAGGAAGAGAACGGCAAGAAGAAACCGATAGCTTACGCAAGTCGATTACTCAGGAAAACTGAACTTAATTACAGCACCACTAAGAAGGAGTGCTTGGCCACATTGTGGGCAGGCAGATATTTTAAACCTTACCTATATGGACGAAAATTTACAATCATTACCGACCACTTCGATGGCTACTAGATTGTAAAGATTCTTCAATGAATTCAAGGTTATCTCGCTGGATTATTTTCCTTCAGGAATTCGACTTTGACGTCATACATAAGGCTGGAAACTCTCACAAAAATCCCGATGCCTTCAGTCGGATTCCCATTCGACAAATAAAAGATGTTGAACCTATTTTCTCTGTTACTCAAATCGCCAACCTACAACAAAGTAATGAACGATGGAGTCCCCTTATACAAGCTTTGAAAGAAGGAGAAACGGTAGGATCTTATAATAACTTTTCCTTAGAAGATTTTTATCTAAATGACGAAGGAGCACTTTGCCATAAAGGCACCAATAAACGCCAAGCTGATTGGTGGAAACAAATTGTCGTGCCTACTAATCTTAAAGCAGTGGTTCTCAACAGGGGGTACATGTACCCCTAGGGGTACAATCGTACATCAAAGGGGTACATCTAACTTTCATTATAAAATGGCGTATGTTAATCAATTTGCTGTAAATTATTAACAAGAAACGACAAAAACTTGCTTTAAAATATCCCAGTATGAACACCGATTTCCCTTTTAACAGTCCAAACAACTTGTTTATCCACTTGATTTGTGCTGTTAGTGCCGAGTGAACCTGTAGTCTAGTAAAATTATGATTTAATCGAGAATTAATTTTAGAATAGAAAATTTTTTTTTTCTATTCTATAATTATTGCTAGATAACATTGGGGCTTTTCGTGTTTTTCTGGATTACTGGTATTAGGAATAACGAGACCTGGATCGTTCCCCCACCATGCAATGCGTGTCACTGCATGCGTGCATTACTTGATATTTTGCAAATTTAGACGTTACGTTCGTTATAAGAATTAAAAGATTCTTGTATCGTTCTGCACTTTAAAAATTCGCAGCCATTACTTTCAAGGTCAGTACACAATTATAATTTTTATTTAATTAATTCTTCGTTAGGTGTGGGATCTTTTTTTAGGGCTCGTTTTTAGTTTGTATTCGCTTGTGCCAATAAATATACATGGCCTATGAGTCGACCAAAATGACTGCCATAACGGGTACAGCGTACCTGACAACATACGAGAGTTACTTGTGTGTCGTCTTTTGAATTTAATTAATTATAACCCTTAAGCCTATAACCCGAGTTATCTGAAGCATAGGCCTTAAGGGCCTCATAAAAAAGTGCCTTGACTTATAACCTTCTCAAAAATGTATGGATCAGCATA